TTAACTCTCATGTACACTATTAATACTTCCAGTGAATAAACATTCATCACTGGGATACTGACCATTAGTTTGCACCTGGAATTTAATTTTTTTTCATTCCTATAGAAGCAAGAATTAAAATTACAATGGTTTTTCTTTTTTTTAATTGTACTTATAATTGTACTGACTATAGAAGACAAAATTCTTACAAAAAACAGGCATTTTTAAAAACCATATCTATTTCAATTTTCACAAAAGAATCTGGAGAAAGGAAATTATGTGCTACATTTTCTTAATACATTATGCCTCCAGTGACCTTCAGCTCTGATGAAAACTGCCACCACTCACTTTTTTAATTACTAACACAAAGCTCTGGATTAGTTAAAGAGCTTATGAACTCTTCAATACTTCAAATACATTGTTAAAGGCAAAAATGTAAATGGCCTTCATTCACAACATTTTAAATGCAGGTGCCAATTCTAACAATGGCACTGTAAGAAAGCAGAGGAAATCACTCTCAATGGGTTTGAATGACCCCAGGACAGAAGCTGGCATGTCCAGACCAGTGTGAGAGTGGAGATGGTCGTGAGATGCCCCCAACACCACACAGGAGCATAGAGACAAACAGAAAAGCCCTTGTTCACACGTGCCTGGCCAAGAAGGGACCCCACAGGGTCAGGGCTTGAGAGGGAGAGAGCTCCTCAGACAGATCCCCACGAGTGCAGGACTGGGAAATGCTTTCACTGGAGATAGCCTGGCACCACTGCTCAGAAACCAGGGTGATGATGGGATGGTAGCAGGAGCTGCATGGAGGTAGGAATTGGCAAAAGAAAAAGTCTATGGGATGATTCAGGCTGATTCTAGAGGAGAAAACATTATCTTTCACTGGGTCATGTCCATAAGTTAATTCCATGGCAAAATCCCACAGCTCAAACCGTAAATGGATGTATTTGGCCAGTACACTCAATACTGGACTTGTTACAGGATATAGAGTTCCAGGGTACTAAATATTATCCAAATAAATATTTAATTTCCAAAGCTCATAGATAACCCTCCAAGAAGATACTAAGACCAAGTGATGGGGCAACTAATTTTCTCTAGTGTAATTCCTAGCATCCTATAAATGTTGATTTTTGGTAAGATTTTCCAAAGAACTTCAAACGCCTGTCCACAATCTAAAGCTGGGGGAGCTGAGTCTTTGAAAGGTTAAAGGGCCTTTCCAAGATCAGTAAATAGCAAAGACAAATCTCCAAGCTCCATCTCTCCTCCCTTACTCCACCATCATGAGTCAGAAATAATCCTGCACCAGAGCTTTATCCCAAGGATTACAGAAATTATTTTGAAAGACTGCATAGGGGAAAAATACATAGATCTAAAGTTCTGACATGAATTCTAAATAAGATTTTAGAGAAGCAGAGTTTCAGTTCAATTCTCTGCTCCAGTTACAGTCTCTCTCCTAAAAATCAACTAAAAGAAACTCATTTCAAAACAACCAAGATGAATAAACAATCTTTTCAACACAGCAGCAAATCAGGTAGATGGATGTCTTAAAGATGTGAGTTCCAAGTTTCACATCTCATTACTGCCTACAGCCCTCCAGTCTCAATCCTGACAACAGCCAATAGCTTTTATGAATAAGCATGTTCTGGAAGAGATGCTGGACTACATGGCTGATAAACAGACAGATAAAACAGAACAGAAATACAAAATGTCAAACATCCATTTACCACAGGTACCAGCCCAGGAGCCTGCAGTAATGTTTATGCAGATAAGAAAACAAAGATCAAAAAGAAAGCTATGCAAATAGTTTGCTTCTATTATTTATTATATGATTTTGGCTTTGTAAATATAAATCAAATACAAATGTACAGCACTTTCAAGGAAATAAATTATATTAGATATCTATACATTAATATATTCCAGCAAACTAGTCTAAGGAAAAAATCTAGTCATAATTCAGTCAAGAATCTGTACAAAACCATACTATTAAATTTCTACGGTATGTGAAGAATAAAACAAGTTTAAGCAATACAGTTCTTCAAATCATATCAAAAGCAAAATGACTGCAAACTCCTAAAGCAATGTTACTAATTTATCATTGTTACAGCTTAAGAATGTAGCCACATCACATAAATTGCTTCTCCCTCATGTACTATCTTTGAATCACTCAATTTGGGAAAAAAAAAATCCAAGCTGTATTACAAGAGACTGCACTTTATAGCAGAGGAGGTAGCAGACGGTGAAACAAGAAATAATATAATGGCATGAAGAATTATATGCATTTTGCATTGGACTTATAATTTATATGATAAATAACAAGTTCACAAAAATTTGAGACAGGGATTGTTTTTCTTGAAGAAAAAAAAATCTGTTTGGTATAGGGTAGCTAGCTGAAAAACACATAGATTTTTCAGTAATTCTGAAAGGAAAGTAGTCAGTAACAGCTAAAATGTATCTCCTACTACAAAATGCCTTCCTAACCATTTTGGGATGTTACAAGGTGTACATCTACTTCTAATTAAAAACAGGATAAAGACATTCAGAATCCTAAACAACAGCTTTGCCTTCCCTGGATCTCATCCAAGAAGGACTAGCAGACTTCATCTTTTTTTTTTTTCTCTCATAATTAAAAAAATGCTGGATTCCTCTTCCACGCAATTATATATTTTTCTGCAAATCCCTATTTTCAAAGAACAAGAAGACAAAGGACAAGGGAAACATCAGGGCACTTTATTTCCTTCAGATAATTTATCACACTGATACAATTTTGGTACCCTAAATTCTATTTCTGCCACATTCATGACCTGCTCACTGCTCTTCTCCTTAGCCACAGTATCTGACTACTTCTCTGCTGAATTCAGTTTATTTTAGTCATTTTCCCACACAAAGAGCATTCTCAGTTGTCCAACTGATTTGCTATAAATTTTCATGGATTATAGACCACCTCCTTGACATCCTCCCCTTTCTTTCTTGTATCTTGTTTCCTCCAGTCGTGGGAAAGGGATACAGGATGTTTCATCTGTGCTCTGCTTGATTTTCTTGAAGATCCTTATTGCCTTTTTTTCCCCATTTGCCAGCATCTCAAAAAGCCCAAAGATTTTATAAAAACCAGTACCAATCAATAAACTATAAATATTCTTTTAAATCACCCCAAAACTGCTTTAAAAACTTAGTGAATATAGTAAACACAAATATGCTAATTAGAAGGAATAAAAAACAAACTGACTTATGTTTTTAAGTGGCCACAGCTAACAGTTAGAAGAAAGCAAGCAACAGAATCACATATTGGAAAGCAAATCTCATTATTTAAAAATGCAGTAGTTCTTTCTATTGGGAGTGTTTTAGCTGCTGTTTCAAGTAAGCTACATGAGGAAATGTGAGAAGTAACTCTATTGTCTCCATGTATTCAATTAAAAAAATCTGTATTTTTAATAATTTATGATCCTAGACAAGAAAGTTCTCTTCTCATTCTACTTTCCCTTGTTTCATTTTAGAAAAGGAAAAGCTTGTGTAAAATCTGTGCAACTATTTTTTGAGAAAGAATTACAACAGACTGCCTGACCTGATAAGCCCTCTGGAAGACTTGGCTAAAAGTCTAAGAAATAAAAAAGCTGAGCTGCAGGAAGATTGCACTGACTATTCTGGTACTAAGTCTCCTGTCACATGTGCCACTCCCATCTTTCTTAAGCAAAAATGACAATGCATGGCCAGTTGCTGACAGCCAGCTTCAACAGTACAGCAGATAAATTTGTTTAAGAAGGTCTGTCCTGCAGGTATGTCCAAGTTCACTTCCTGGCAGTGCTACAGGTTTCCTGTGACACCAGGAATGTTTCTTAACCATTAAAAAAATTTCTATCTATTTTCTTGAAATTTCATAAATCGTCCTCATTTTTTGTAAAATGGAAAAAAAATCAACATAAACTTGCTGGTTACTGAACTCTCCAGTCACTCTTGAACGATGGATTTTCAGATTCCATGAGTGAACACTCAGATTCAATGAGTGAACATTCCTGTTTAATTATACTAAGAAAGAAATCCAAGAGGGTGTTTCCAAGCATAGGATTCATGTTCAATAGCACAAGCACCCTCTGAGCTGCAGCCTGAAACCAGACAATTTCTGTAACAATACTCAGTTCTCTCAAAACTTTGAGGGCAGATCCAAATTGTATCACAGTGAATGCCTCAGCTTGTTGATGACAACAGAACTTCTGATGTCACAGCAAAAAGTAAAAAATGGGTTATGAGCAAATGTAAATTGAAACACATTTCACTTTTCCCAGACTTGAGACATTCACTCTGAATGAAAAAATAGCAGTACAGCACTGGTACGAGAATTGCTACCAAGATGAGTTTTCTCCTGGTGAAGATTTTAAAGGAAGCTATTTCTCTTGAGAAAAATGATGCAACTTCTCATGACATTCCTTCCCGAGTTATAGGCAGTTTCTCAATTTCAAAGTAACATTAATTTAGTTACTAAGTACAAAACTTGCTAGTTTTATTGTAGCACTTTCTTTAAAACTAATCTGGATATCAAAGTAGCAAGTGTTTTTCACTATTTCTAGAACCTAAGCACAATTCCATTTCCTGCTACTGTGGGGGTACCAGCAACTTGAAGTTCCAGCCATTTTTACTGAGCTATTAAACAATTTAGCATATTAAATCTGCTTGTCTTTTGCTTTTGCACTTGCCTTGACTGTTATCAATATCACTTTCTCTCCATCTCGTCTCTTCTTACTTCTGATTTTCTATTCTTCTAGTGCTAGAAGTATTGGCATATTATCTTTATCTCTTTCTGCCTTAGAAGCAGACCTATTCACAGAATGAAATGGAAGTGTATGCCTTAGCAACTGTTCCCCCTCTAATTTATACTCCAAATGCCTCGTAACACAGCAAAGTGCTGATACTGCTACTTTACAGGGAGGAAACTATGCCATAGAGAAGTATATTCAGAATCTGCAACAAGCACAAAAATGAGACTGGTAAATCATGGCAGCAACCTGATGAGTTACTCTCCTCAGCCCATGGCGGGCAGCCACAGCTCCTGGCTCACAATATTTCAGGTACAGCTCTCGTGAGGCTGCCAGTCATGTACCTGGCAGCAGGGCCATGCTGATGCTGCTAAATAAACTCAGATCACTGCATTTGGAAGAAACCACTCAACAAGGGTCACTCAGCAAACACCAGCCTAGCACTCAACACTGAGACAAGTCTCAGCCTCCATTTTGGGAGCTCTCAGCTATCCAAAGCACAGGGTACAGGAGTTTTGGCTCATATCTACATAGGAATTTTAGTGCTGACAGGATAAGCCAGTTTGGCCATATTTGCCCTACACAGTAAACGCATAGGAATTTTAGTGTGTCATCCCCACAGGGTAAGCCAGTTTGGCCATATTTGCCCTACACAGTAAACACTTAAAAGCAATAACAACACAACGTGTGTGATACAGACATCGTGTCAGGTTCCTCCATCTGAAATGCTCATGTTTAGATCCTACAGCCTGGCTTCCAATCCATACTTACCCAGACTGGCTGTGTGCTGTCATCCTCACACTAATACTGTGGGTTAAGTGGCTTTTTATACTCTTCCACAATCACCTCCCTCTAGACGTATTTGTAAAGATCATAAGAACCACAGGGATTGATCAAAGACACATTTACTGAATTTCTGGTGCATGACACAAAGCTACTCAAATATATGGGATTCTCCAGGGCTAAAGATGGAGAAGATAAGTAACAGCATAGTTTCAGCCTCTCTGTTGGAACACCAATGTTAACATCTAATTCACAACAAATCTAAATCCTAGCTTATTAATATAAGCAGATTGTAAATAAAAGTAATAAAGATTAGGTATTTTTACTGACTCAGCAAACAGATCTGCATGTTTCAACCAGATGCCTTCCCATTTAAGACACCTGTAAGGCCCACAAATACCAGTTCTTACTCAAAATCAAGCTCTAACTAGAAGAACTGACTCTGCTACATGGAATCTGGAGAATCTTTTAATTTGAAAAAAAACATTAAGTATCCTGAGCCTTTTTGTTGTGCTGAAGAGGAGTCCTAAAGAGAAATCTGTCCTTAGCTTGGGGCCACTAAAGCAGTGTTGGCTGCTTGAATCCTTGGAGGCAAGGGTCTCTAGCCTTTGGGATCAGCAACAAACCTCAGCTGAACAAGTTACAGGAATTAATTTAATGAAAACTGACCATATGACTGTTCTACTGCCTGAAAAGTTTGCTCTAATCCACTTCAGTTGATGGGGTAGAGAAAAGCAAACTAACTGGCCCAAGAGCTCTCACAGTACCTACAGCAGACATTCCTCTACAGTCAATTTTGAGAAAGCAAGGCAAGAGGAGTGGTAAGCACTCCATAGTGAGTGGCAGCTGGATAAGGTTATTAGTGTTTTTTCTGCAAACTGTCTTGGCAGGGGATCTTGTAGCCTTGAACATTTTTATGCCCACAGCACTTTGTAAGATTTGTTTTTCTTTTTTTTTTTCATTTTACTGTTGGAGAACCATTACACAAAAAGCTGAGTCCGAAAGGCCTAGTGAAGGTACCCAACTTCAACACAGCAAAGAACAGAGTGTGCAATTTAGGAACCCTGATAAGTGGTTTCTATGCTTTGCTCTCCGTGAGATCAAAATAATTATACTCAATAACTAACACTGTCCAGGCAATTCTGCTGAAAATAGTCCTGAGCACCTCCAGTTAGCTTACAGTCAATGCATTATTTTGGTGACTCTATGCAAAACAGAAACAGTCCCCATCACAAATTTCTACTACAGACAAAAATAACATAAGCACATTAAGCTGCTTTCCCCTGTCACCCCCGATGAACTTCATATGGCAACCAGACCAAAAGCCCCCGCTGAGCCCCCGAAGCTGAATGTGAAACGGAAATATCATAAGAAACCACTGCCAGCATCCCAGAACATGACTCACACTGCCTAAGTACCAAATCACTACATTTAGAAGATTCTTGTCTGGTTATTTTGTGTGGATAGATCAAGCACTCTGAAACTCCATTTGCTGAAGGAAGCAGACTGAGCGCCAGCTCTCCTAACTTGGTAGCTGCCTCCTGTGCTAGTAAACTTCAGGCAAGTCACTGCATATCTCTACACAACCATTTCCAAATGCAAAACTAATTACACTAATCCCTTTTCTGCAGCACTTAAACATCTATGTACAAAAATACTATCCAAAGAACTATTTATGTTATTAGAGCAAAGTAAAATACTGCATGGAAAGCCAGGGCCATGTCTCTTCTGTCAATCTATCCCTCCTGACAGAAATTACTACAAAATGTTGTTTAAAATTGATGGACCTTCCTGAGCAGAGTAAAATGGGGAACTACTAAGGGAGAACCACTGAAACAAGAGAAGATGTAAACTATCCTAAGGGCCAGATTTTCAAAGATGACTGAAAACAGACATGATGTCCATACATGATGAGATTTTCAGAACCAACATTTATTCAAAGTCCTGCTAACATCAACTGCAGCTAATTAGTGCTGCCTTTGCAGACAACTGCAACTTTAATCACTCTGATCATTGAAAATCTGACCCCAAGTAAACAAACTAAAACAACACTGTTAAATGTTGCTTGTATGATTATTGTGGAAAACTTCTTTAGACAGAAATGTGACTTTTAAACTGCAGTTTAGCAATCCATAAATGCTAATGAGATCATGTGCTGTTTAGTCTTGTGATAATTTTTCCCTATTAAAATCTTGTTCTTTTTTTAACCTAATAAGCACATCACTAGTCTAAGCATGTTCATTGCTCAAATTTTAAATTTACAGCTAAAATAAAGGGAGATTGCTTACCAATAACCAGAATTCTTTGAGACATGAATTCTTCATGTATATTCAAACTACTGGGCTACATATATGTTCTTTCACTTAAGACCAGTCTTTTATCTTTGCAATGAATAAGTATATAAGGTACTGACTGTGCCACTTTTGGTTTCCTCCCAACCACAGAAAAGAAAACTCACAAATTTTAAAAATTCTGAGGGAGAACAAAGTAATCAAAATAGAAAATGTTTATGTGAATGAACCATTTTTAAAAAGTTGTCTATTGGTAAATCAATTTTTTCTATTTTGAGGGCACTATTACAGTTCATCATAGTGACTTCAACAGCTACATCTGGTCACTAAGCACCTGAGGGCATGGAGTCTTCTCTAGAAACCATTCTAAGAGCACTAAGAGCATGTGGTGAAGCTACTGATGGAGCTACAGATAGCATCACCTCCAGTACCTCAACTATTTCTTAACAAGGTTTTGTGCTCTGGAGAAGCACTCTGTAGTGACAGAGGGAGATTCAACTCTAGCAGTCTGATAGCAAATTTTGACAGTCTCCAACTGACTTTGACAGTCTGTGTGGAAATGGCTGAACTGTTAAACCCCCCAGAAAACACACAATGAATAGCCTGAAGCATTTAAATGTGAGAATACAGAAGTAGACAACCACAACATAAAAGTATAAAATAACAAATTCTGCTTTAGAGGCAAAACACCAGCAATAACATTTTGAGTTTAAAGAAAACCTGCTCATTAAAAAGTAAAATTCTACCATGATTAGAGACAAAAAATGAAGAATGTTATTCATAAGAACATATGTGTCTCCTTCAAAAGTCTCTGAGGAAGTGGCCTTGATGAAAGCAGGAGCGGTAAACACCAAGCCCCAGACCTTAATGAGGCTAAGTGAGAATTCAAACTCTTTTACCCTTAAGCAGATATTCCATAACAGCTTTAATAAATGATACAGAAGGAGGAAAAAAAAAAGGTAAGAAGCCACATGGATCTTATTCTCATAATGTGCAGCATGTGGATGCTGGATGGCTTTCCTTGTTGAAGTATTCCTGATTTTTTTTCATAGGAAAAAGTCTACAGATGACAGAAAACTCCAACTAGACAGACACTAAAGTGGGTAAGATACCTGTCTGTCTCAGAGCACTGACAGATGGGGCTTCAACTCTTTCACTTACATACAACAGGCTGGCTGCTGTCACAAGGGCTTGTGACGGCATTTTCACTGAGTTCGATACAGAAGAAATAGGTAAAATTATTTAAGCTGGGTTACACAGAAAAATTCTTTCCAAAAACAAGGCCAAGCCTTTGAACAGACAAAACTTAAAAGAACAGCAGTTTTCAGAAGCCCATACATTGTCATAAAATTTTCAGTTGCATAAGTACATAGTACATTATTTACTATTTTTACTAGAAATGAAGTTATGTAAAAAGAACTACTAACAATAAGAAACACCAGTGTTAATATGTAAATTCGAAGATATCTTCAAAGTATTTTTTTCCATTTCTAGAAAACCAAAGAAACCCCAAACCTCTTTTTGTGAACAATCTATTTGACTTGGGTATGATTTCACTCACAAGTACTAGTCAAAAGCATTTTTCTTGAAATCATTTTCAAAATGAAAACTGTTTTTCCATCTACTTCTAATATCTTTGTCTAATGGGGTATATATGCACTGTGGATGAAGCATCTCTAAACAGACAAGTTATTTTTGGAAGAACACTGCGACAGTTCTTGTCAATATTAGAATGTTATGGTTATGCAGTATGGTCTAATACTGGATTATTTTGATCTCCTCTGGAAATCCATTCCAGGTTAATATTGACTATTATTATCAATCAGTTGATAGAGCAAGCTTGCAGCTTTGAAGTTCATATTTCTGCAAAATACTCTCCACAACAGGATGTGGCTTGTGTTCTTTTTCACCTACCTCTTACTCTACAGTAACAAACAGCAAATGCTTCCTACTGTAATTTAAGCAGGATTCTGAGAGATTGAGTGGTAAATGATAAAATGTGCCTTTGTATGTAGAAGAGAAACATTTCTGTGCCAGCAGATGATTGCCATGTGCAGATCTGTGATTGCCTAAGTCCTTTTGACATCACCACAAAAATTGGCTCCCACTCCTTTGTTGACACACATGTAAAATCCATGCCTGATAACCTTGTAAAAGTATATACAGTTTAACTACAATACAAACAAGCATTATTTCTCCTACCAATGAATTATAACCATTCCTGCTGCACAATATATCATATGTTTAACAGTGCACACTACTCAGCAACTTAACCTATTTCATAAACTCTGAAAACCTACCTCTTCTATGAATGCTATTACTGAATATGCCACTTCATATTTTTTCTGTACTGTATCATGCCACACTATACTTATTCATGCACAAATACCAAATGTAATTTGGAGCAGGGATTTTTCCTAACTTTTTTTATCCTGTGCTGTTATTTCACAAGTTTCCAAGTACATATGCATTACTATTTAAATAAACAACAGTAACAAAATCCAGATGAAATTTTACAGAAATATAGGCACTCAGAATGTAATTAGCCAAACTGGAATTCAGCCAGGGCAACATCACTACTCTTGTGGAAAACACCAACAGATCATACAAATGGCTTGAATGGGTCAAAATTGTAAGTACATAAATATACACTTTAAATTCCCAAACCCAATACACCATCATCTATCACCTTCTGATTATCCAGCATAGCTATCAAAAGTGCCAGAGACTCATTAGCAAACACCTTCTCAAAGCTACCTCCACTGCAGCCTGCTGTAGTCTGAGAGGCAGGAAGTGAAGGTCATCATTTAAATTCAAGGCAAAGCGACTGTAAACCAGCGCTTCTGCCCGATGTGGGGTTCCTGCCACAGCGCTCTCCACCCGCTCTAGCAGCTCAGTTAATTTCATTAATTCAGTGGAACTCGGAGGAAACGTTGGAAACCGGGGCTTTTTGTTTCTTAAATTTAGCAACGTACATGTGAAAAGGTTTGATACCCACTGCAATATTGCACTTCATGTATTGTTTGATAATCATCTGGTCACCACACCCACCAGAGCGGGCTGAGCTCAAGGGATGCTTGTTTGCTCTCTTGCCAGGACTTCAGCCTTCTTTTACACCCTGTCCTTTGACAGCTCCTAAACTGCAATTCAGGCACCCAAACCCACTTTTAAGAGGCATCTTCAGCTCTTCAAAACCTGAAAATATGTTGCATTAACACTGGCACTTTGCTTTTATTGTCACTGAATTCTCATTTTCCTTTGACATGCTGCTGACTTCAGCACCTTCCTTTCTTCAAGCTCACCCAGTTGCCTTCCATGACTGAATTCCCTATTTACTGGTAAAGAAATACACAGTGAGGACACAGCACATTCATCTGAGTTTGCAGCCCTTTCAATGTTCTTCCAAACAAAAGAGAGCAAAAGTATCAGACCCCTATAAAAAGTGTCTCACTGAGGTCTTACTCAGCAGGGGGATGGCATTTGTTAAACCTTCAGTCAAATTCCTCCTCTACTGTTGGACTCCATGTTCACATATATCATAACATTACTTCAAAAAATTAATGACATCCCAGAATGCCCAGATGAAAGTATAACAAGAAGTTGTACCAAAATTGTAGTAAACTCACATAATAAAGCAGAGGAACTATTGGAAGTCAGAAAGTGAAACCACTGAAAAACTCACTAATTAAGAAAACACCAAATAAGATGAACATCTGACCCTCTCCTCTGTTTGGAGTCTCTCTGCTGAAGGTACAGGGAGATACTTAACATGATCACAACTTCTCATCTGATGAAGCTTTCAGTGTAGATCAGTAAAGCACAAGGAAATAGGCCAAGGGATCCAGACACAAACAGATGGAATTGGCATGTCTGCATTCTGAGCCTTCATGGAACAAGAGGGAAATACAGTTCCCATCTTCTTATGAAATGCGACTTTCTTGTTCCACCTGCACTCAGACAGACAGCTACCTCACAAGAGCATGAACTTCTCTTTTCATCTCTGCAGGGAAATAACTCAAAAGCAAATGGGTGACGCTTTAAAAACCTCTGGTGCCAAGTGCATCACTGCCAAGAATTTACCATCTCTCTCTGGACAAGATACTTGCCTATTGCATACCAAGAGGAGATTGATTTGATTGTAAGTAGCTCCCTCTAAGAAAATACAGGACACTTAAAGGCACACAAAATTTTCCTCTGCTTTTCACTGCCACGTATTAACTGCTGCTACACTTATTTCCCTTTTTATGTATTTAGTTTATTGGATTTCTA